ATAACAAATATTTACAGTAGTAACAATTTTATTGTCATTTATATAATGAAATAAAATGGGCTACAATAAAATTATTATTACCGTAAATAATAGATATAGTGTAATTTACAGTGGTAATAATTTTATTACACTTCGTTTTATTTTGTTATATAAATATTTAAATAATAAAAATGTTCAAAACATTCATTGCATCTTTTGTTAATGAATCGTGTCTCGCTGTTTTCAATATTCAATATTCAGTCATTGTGAACGACAACAATTCTGTATTTCACTATAGAGGTCGTGAAACAAGATTTTGAAAATTTTATTATTATTATGTGTATGTGTGTGACAAATGGCCGAACAAACGAACGTTGTTGTGTAAAATCTGTTTCCTTAGATGGCGGGCCAGGATCCGAAATTTCAGAAGGAGGCCGCGGACCAAAACTTCGACTACATGTTCAAGTTGCTGATCATCGGGAACTCGTCCGTGGGCAAAACCTCTTTCCTGTTCCGCTACGCGGACGATTCCTTCACCTCGGCCTTCGTATCGACCGTGGGCATCGATTTTAAAGTGAAAACGGTCTTCAGACACGACAAAAGGGTCAAGCTACAGATCTGGGTTAGTATTGTCCTCCTCCCTCCGCCCCCCCCCCCGCTCGAGATAATTTACTTCCGAGGATATTTTTAAAACTTAAGAAACCAGAGAGATCGATTGAAGAATCAATTTTATCGGAGAATTTACATTTATATTTACATTTATATTCGCGAGTCGTTCGGTAAAGAAATATTTCATACAATGTGTGAATGCAGACAAGAGATAAACACGATGAACGCGTGAGAAAGAAGCCGAAGAGGAAACATAACGAGGCCGCGACGTTTACCCGCACGTGGCTTCATTTATCATCCGAGTCGTGCGCTATCGCTTCCTCGTTCGCGACACTCCGCCATTTCACCTCGCTTAAATTTACATTTCCCCTTTCAAACGCTGACTCGCACCACCAGTGAATTAATTCGTTTCGTTTTCAAATGTATCGAGATTGTTTCAAAAGTTCTCCCCCGAGGGAAAGTCACGTTAATAGGTCAGATGATAGGTTAAATGTCTCCGGGGGTATCGTTATCGAGATTTGAAAGATATTAGAATTATTGAATATTAAAAGTACCAAAATTACTAATATTGCTAAATATTAGAAATGTTAAAATTAGTATTGGACCAAAAAATCACTTTCTACCCAAATGAATCCGTGATTGTTTATTTATTTCTGGCAGCAAGAAATAATTTAATTAAAAATTAATAAAATTAGTTTTCTTCTTATATTTTGATGTTTTATCAAAAAAAAAAAAAAAAAAAAAAAAATAGGTGGGAAGAAACCACCACCCTGTATTAAAAATATTAAAATTTTGGCTATCACTCTCTAAAATAAACTCTAAAAATATTAAAACTGTAAACTCTAAAAATTAAATTATAAAAAAAATTACAAAGTCCAAATTGCAGAGATTTCAGACTACTGCAGAGAAATGATTCATGAAAATGGCAATTGTTGAATAACAGTTGCTAGTACAGTGACTTCGAGAAACAACAGTAATAGAAGTCTGACTGAGGTCGCCACGTTGCAGGACACGGCAGGCCAAGAGAGATACAGGACGATAACGACGGCCTACTACAGAGGCGCGATGGGTTTCATCCTGATGTACGACATCACGAACGAGGAGTCGTTCAATTCGGTTCAGGACTGGGTCACGCAGATCAAAACCTACTCGTGCGACAACGCTCAGGTGATCCTGGTCGGCAACAAGTGCGACATGGAGGACGAGAGGGTGATCACCACCGAAAGGGGCAAGCAACTGGCGGACCAGTTGGGCATCCAGTTCTTCGAGACATCGGCCAAGGAGAACATTAATATCAAGGTAAATCAAGAATAATCTAATAGCTGCTCGCAACACTCAATAGGTCTCAAACACTCGTTTGAGATTTTCTCTTGAAGGTGGTAAAATTCCACTGGCAACGTCAGTCTAATCGAGCAGAATTCGTCTCGAATTGCGAGGTACTAGTTAGTTACCTTTGCTTATTTATCTGGTTGAACCTAGACACTATGAAACTAGACTGGATCAACAGGATTGGAACTAAAATACAACACAGTCGAAATGGCGTAAAAGTTAGGGAACGTTCGAGAGTCTAACCAAAGCCAAGTTCCAACAAAAGTTCCTTATAGAAGTTACAAATAGGTGTACTGCCTATAGTACAATCACTTCCATTTTCATTTTTCTTCGACTGTTTGCCCAGCCCATTATCCCCAGTCGATATTCAACGATCGCGTGGCCGGCAACGTTATCGCGTCACTCATTTCCACCTACGACGGTGTGTGTACACAGTGCGCCATTACATTCGACCAGTGTATTCTCGATTGTCGTTCACCTACGCCCCGTTAATCATCACGCATGGGTCGAGCTTATTGCCATTGACGTCCGTTCGATCGATTTTTCTGCCCGTTGTTG